AGACCAGATTTTTTCATGCAACTGTTTCTGAGATATTGCCATTTTGGTGAAAGCTCTTGAATTCAGTCACGTATTCGCCATATTGCTTGCACGTTAGGGGGGTAGAAACATTGTAACAGCTTGGGCGTTAATGAGTTAACTATCATGTATGTTAATATTTGTACTACAATAATTATACTCCATTTAATAAAAAAACATGCTTGCAAGTGTGTACCATACACTTGGACTCAGGACTCTTGGGGTAAAACAAAATAAAATTGTATAAACCCATTGGTGATTAAATAATTAACTTATTTATAATAATTAAACATTGACTAACATGCTTTTGTATGGCAATTATTTTAGATAACAGCTTGAATTGCATGGTGAAAATGTTGGAGGCAGCCAGAAGGCTGAGGACAAAAATGTGGAAGATGACAAGGACAAGAACACTGAGGAAAAAGGAGGTTTGTTATAAATTATAATTGTATATTGTAATACTTCATCAGTTATTAATTAACCTACAGACTGCAGGTAAGGTAAAACTATTTAGATAAATATTTAAATACAGTACCCACAAATTGTATTCTTCATAATGATGTGAACATTGTAATGATTTCATTGTTTCTCTTTTTAGTTCTGCTGCTTTCAAGTCAACATCTATTATGTAAGTTTTTGTTTGTATGAATATGATGCCTGACATTTGTATGTCAGTATGTGTACTCACCTGACCTGCATACTGTAGCTCAAACATTGTTTTATGCTTGCCATAGCATGCATTGTTTAACAAATTTAACTTTAAGTTATTCTCAGAAATTTTCATTGGAAAGTGTATTTATAATCATTGAAAATCTAACGTTTTCCGCCATGTTGATTTTGTTTGTCTCGTTTCCAGTCTCTACTCTCTTTTAGTCATTGATTTCAAATTTCAATTTGTATTAAGAACATTTTGACCTGCAAATAAATTCACACAACGTCTGTTTATATGTTATTCACTATTGTAGTATTTAGTAATTAGTAATAAATAGTAATTACGTACATATAACAGACTTTGTTCTTGACTAGTTTCAACATTTCTATTGCTACAGTGAACCAATTTTAAGTGGAGGTTCAGTTGATCCCACACCCCCTAGCCATCATAGCTATCAAAGTTCACTGGATAGTTTCCTACCCACCCTTGATCTAAAGGAACCAGGAGGTTTTAATATCGAAGATTGGGCGGAAAAAGTTGCGACTAAGGTGGCACAAAAGCTAAGTTCCCAAAAAGAAGTGACTTCTGGAGCCACATATAATCCCTTTCCGAGTAAGTCCCTTAAAGCAGGTAATTTGTTTCAACTACTGGACGAGGTGCCTGATTTTGCGTTATTTAATGAGGAGAACAGCCGGGTATTGCAGTGTAGTAGTTGTGCAGAGTTTTTGTCTTCTCCTCGGGTTTCCGTTTCGTCCTCGTTTCGTCGACCATCTGGCAGAACAGATGGAAGTTTGGCAACCGGTCTGCACTTATCAGATGATGTATACCAACAACTGGTTACTGGTAAGTGCGATAAATGGTACCATCAGAAACAAGGGGTGCCTTCAACATCTTTCTTCCGAAACACACAATAACGCTTTGGGTTATGTGAAGTTGTTAAAACAAGGGAGATCCAGGGAGGTGATCTTTGTTAAGAATCAACTTCGTGCAGCTTTTGGAATTGTGAAAACCAAGTCGGCTGCAATCCAATACGAGGAACGAATTGTGGAGCTTCAAGCAGCTGGTGCGGACGTCAGCGATTTTGGTCATTCCCGGAAAATGTTTCCGCAAATGATTAAAGCGGCGTGTGCCTACATTGACAGAAAAACGACCAATTTCCTGTCCACCCCTCTTCCAAACACGGGAATGCCACCACACTTTTATGTCACAGCAGACAAGTCCACCAACCATCAGATCACCAATCAGGTTACCGTTATTTGTCCTGTGGTAGATGGTAGTCGCAAAGGCATTGTCCTGGATGCTAGAGAGGTATATACCAACTCTGATGGGATTGGTGGTACAGGTGACGCTTCAGCCGCCGCTATTTTCAAGGACCTGGAGGAACATGTCAGTTTAAAAGACGATCGTCTTCTTCAATTTCAAGGAAGAGTAATGGATGGCCAATACATCAATGAACCGTTTATTGATGGCATGAACAAGCCTATCATGTGACTGTTGGATGATCTCCCATGCAAAGAACGTTTCTGGTGGCCTGTACAATGGGATCCTGCACATTGGCTGGACAAAGTTTTCAGCACATTTAAGGATTCGTGTTTTGTTGATCGTCTCCTGAAGAGAGTGGCACTTTACCACCAACTTTTCAGGCACGGTAAAATGCACAGTGTAGCGTGTCACACGGCAAAGGATCTAAAGCTTCCATTTCGTGTCACCAATGCATATGCCCATCAGCGATTTATGAGCTCCAGCTACTTGTCACTGAAGAACCTCGCAGACAGTTTGGAAGTGTACATCGAGACCTTCAAAGACCATGACAATCGCGAAGAGATTGGTTACAAGTTGTGTGGTCAAGACTTCGTCCATGACTTGTTTGGTGTTCTCGATTTGTTGTGGCCCCTGGTTGTCCTTATGCTGCAGTCACAGGCAGAATGGTATCCTGGCTGGAAGCTGTGTGCGCATATTCCTTTGGTGAAAAGACAAATGGAACGTTTCATTGTCGAAGTGCCTAAAGACGACCCTTCTACTTACATTTGTCCTAGACTGAACAAGCAAGTCGACGAAATTTGAGAAAAGCGCTATGGTCGAAGTGAACTGACATTGGGGTGGTTTGCTCTTGCTGGTGGCGATGATGGACTGCCGGTGAATTGGAACGCACGAGAGTTAGACAACAGCGCTGATGACTTGATAGAGCTGGCAAGGAAGGTAATCAATGAGCTGGAAGACCGTTACACTAACAGCTTCTCTGATCTCAATGCTTTCCAAATGTTTCGACTTCGTAACAGAATGCTTTTCAAATGTTTCGACTTCGCAAGACTATTTATTGGATTGTGTGGAATACGAACCGAAGACAGAATCCCCGTGGACAACAATGCGTTCTCCGAACTTGGGGCAAACGAGTTTCGACGGTGTGTGACCTATGTTTCACAGATGCCACACATACGAGACAAGAATTTGGAGATAGGCATCGAGCTGTCGTCAACTGTCTTTTGGCGTTTCAAGAAAGTTTTAATTTCTGTCGTCTGGGGTTGTATGTTTCCCACACACTTCTGCCAATTCTTCAAAAAAATCGCAATCAAAGATAACAGAGATTTCTCTTTGAAAGACGTGGTCGTCGGAGAAGGTGTGACCATGAAAAAGTTCCTGGATGGCACCCGACAACAATTCACGCTTTCAGAAGTCTTCGAAGTAGAGTTGAGCAATGGCGAGACATGGAAGTTCTTTTTGACGAAGAAATTGTTATTAAATCTTTGTATACTGACCCTTCCTTTTACTCAGTTGTGGGCCAGGAGTTTTGCCTTATTTTTGATATCTTCTATGCAAAGAGTGGAGCCGAGGCAGTTGCAGAGTCTTTCAACAGGGTGGTGGACAAGCATGAAATGGAAGGTGGACAGAGCATCCTGGTACTTATGAATCGTTCGAAAGTAGAGAGATGGCAAAAATGTACATCAATGGAGACAAGGATCTTGGTCTAAGCAGGCATCATATCCCAGTCTACAGAGATGTCGATCATGGCAGAAACATGAAGGAGAACTGTCAAAGGTTTTGGATCGAATTGCAACTTCCCGCCCAAAATTTCCTTTTCTCTTGTGATTCTGATGACTCTTTGTCTTGTTTTGGTCATATGGGCTCACCTGTACAATCTTCACTTTGTAACCTTTCATTGACATTACTATTGATGCTAAATGTAACTTACTACAAATGGATTTTGGTGACTCTTTGTCTTGTTTTGGTCATCTGGCAATCTTCACTTTGTAACTTTTCATTAACATTACTATTGATGCTGAATTCAACTTACTACAAATGGATTTTGGTGACTCTTTGAATTGTCTCGTTTTGGTCATCTGGCAATCTTCACTTTGTAACTTTTCATTAACATTACTGTTGATGCTGAATTTAACTTAATACTACAAATGGATTTTGGCGACTCTTCGTCTCATTTTGGTCATCTGGCAATCTTCACTTTGAAACTTTTCATTAACATTACTATTAATGCTGAATTTAACTTACTAAAATGGATTTTGGTGACTCTTTGTCTCGTTTTGGTCATCTGGCAATCTTCACTTTGTAACTTTTCATTAACATTACTATTGATGCTGAATTCAACTTACTACAAATGGATTTTGGTGACCCTTTGTCTCGTTTTAGTCATCTGGCAATCTTCACTTTGTAACTTTTCATTAACATTACTATTGATGCTGAATTTAACTTACTACAAATGGATTTTGGCGACTCTTTTGTCATGGTGGACATGAAATTTGTTGTTCTTGTGAAATTGATAATATTTTAGTTAATATTATCGGTTTTTGGATATTTTTGACAGTATTTTTTGTGTGTAATATGTTATCGTGATTTACAATGCCAGAATATTTAACAGCAGATCAATTAAAACAAATACTGGATGAGAAACTGGACCAGAAGCTAATACCGTTGAATTTGAAAGTTTCTGAACTCAGTACCAAACTTGAAGATGCAATGCAATTCATTGATCTGGCTAACTCCAAGTATGAAGAAGTAATTACAAAACTTAATTCTTACGAAATAGCGAGAATTGAGATACAGGAAGAAAACAAGATTTTAAGGAGTGCTTTACAACAAACTGAAAGCCAAGTGCTTCAATTAAAAAACTCATATCATGACCTTGAACAATACTCTTGCAGGGAGTGTGTAGAAATTCAAGGTATACCAGCCCCTGATCATCCAACTAAGGAATCAACTAATGATATTGTAATGAAAATTGCCAGCAAATTTATGGATATTGATATCACCGAGAAAGATATATCTGTGAACCATCGTTTACCTGTGAATAAAGGATACAAGGGGAACAGACCTGAACCTGCAATTATCGTAAAATTTGTTCGTGGAGATACTAAAGTGGCATTTTATTGAGCTAGAAGCAAGTTAAGGTGGTTCCCTACAGTTATTCTTGTTTACCCAATAATTCCGTAAAACAGGCTTATTTGTGCAGAACGCGAATTCGTTTCGACTTGGTGACAATATTGGTCACCTAAGGAATATTTTGAACTAGATTTCGACAACGTCAGTGTCACCATGGCAACATGACGACGGCACAAAACCTTCTAATTTAACCCATAAATGTGCCGCTATCTCAAAAACGATGTCGGTGACCTATCTTTTTTATTTCATATATCAATAGGGAATGATGCTCTGCAACTGTGGTGAAAGTTTAAAAAAATTCTGTAGTGTGTGATTTTTTTAAAAGCGAAAATTTTATTGCGAAATTTCCACACTACAGATTTTTTTAAAAATTGAAATTTATATTATTTACCGCAAAATAAATTCGTGGTCAAAATTTGAAGATAGGTCACCGATGAAACTAATGAGTAAAATGCAAATAAAGTTAGAAAATAGCCTCGTGTAACTCGAGAAATTCCCCTTAATGAAAAGCGTCGCTGACTAGTAAAAGATTGTACGCGGGCGCAGAACGAGTTTTCATTCAGCAAAATCGAGCGGAAATGTTGTTTTTACTGTTTTGTTTTTGTCAACTTTTCGATTTATTTGAGTGCCATGGACAGCCAAGGATTAATGTGAAGGTCAAATCGATGAAAACAAGGTTGAAGCTAATTAAACCCTGCCGTTTACTCAATCTATGAGCTGTAACAGCCTATCAACAGGTGGACGTGTTTTTTTGTTCCATGTTTGGTTTTGTACTTTTTGCTAAAAATGAACAATTAGGCTATGAAACTGAAATATTTTTCTGTTTACATATAATCACTTTAATCTTGTAGAAACACGACTAAAAACGTGAACGTTTTCTTGAGAAGTAAATAACTTTTTAAACGTTTGTATGCAATTTTGCAAATGTTTTACAGTTGACAGTGTATATTTAAAGAATTAAAAAACATTGTTTCGTAGCTATTTTTGGTCTAGAGATATTCGTATCATATGTAGAATTGCTGTATAGACTCGCAAGTGATTTGGCAATCAAAACGAAGTATTATTCAACGCTTTTTTCCATTAGAAACCTTTCAGAAATAGCTTTATTTTTAAAAAAAGCGTGGTCAATTTTTGTTTTGTTTTGATCATGCGGTTGCGTGGGATAGTTCACGTACTGGTCCCGCGAACATCCCGCACGCAACTGTAGGGAGCCTCCTTAAAGAACAAAACAACTCGAGACCTTGGATATCAAGCTGCTAATGGCATATATATCAATGAAAGCCTTACTGAAATGAATAAAGCTTTATTTAAATGTTGTCTAAAGACCAAGAAAGATCTTAACTATAAATACATTTGGACCTCAAACGGTAGAATCTCCTTAAGGAAGAATGAAGAGAGTCAAAGGATCTATATCAAGAATGAAGGTCAACTTACTAAGCTGTTGAGCTAAGTACAAATTGAATAATTATTTTGTTTGATGTGTGAATTGCGGTAGATGCTTAACATCTACTTCTATATCTCATATTGATGACAGATTACTGGAACTTAAAGATCTACCTTGTCTTAATATTACATCACCCATAACTAATACACCTCATTTAAATGACCTAGATATTGATTTAAACTTGCCCTCTGATAATAATTTTGCCTATTACACTACTCATGATTACCATAATAATCATGACATTAATGAGTGTTTATCTGACTCTAGATAATTTTCTGCATTGCACTGTAATATTAGGAGCCTGGTGGCTAATCATGATAACCTTGTACATATGTTATCTTCATTGTATTTTCCTTTTTCTCTGATTGGGCTTTCGGAAATTAAGTTTAGAGATAATCAGGATCCCTTGACAAATATACAGATAGCTGGTTATGAATTTGTATCCAAACCCAGTCTTTCTAATGCAGGGGGTGTGGCCTTCTATATAAAAAAGAATCTAAATTTCAAAATCAAAGATGAAATATCGGTCACTGACTTAGACTTTGAATCGCTTTGGATTGAAATTGAATCCGTTGGTCAACCAAATTTAATATGTGGAATGGTGTATAGACATCCAAATGGCAATTTAGATCATTTTATGGAATATTTAGATCACACAGTTGAGATGGTCCATAGGGAGAATAAAATTTGTTTATTGATGGGGGAGTTCAACATTGACCTTTTGAAAGCAAATTTAAATATTGCTTCAGACAACTTTCTAAATTCTCTCGGTTCTTATTTCTTCCAACCACAAATATTACAACCGACTAGAATAACTAACCACTCCTCGACATTGATTGATAATATATTTTTTAATTCAATCGAACACTTTGTCATTAGTGGTAATCTGGTCTATGATTTGACTGATCATTTGCCTAATTTTATCATATTTAATAAATTTTCGTCTCTCCCCTCAAATGTTAAAATCCATAAGAGAGATTACTCATTGTTTAATGAACCAGATCTAATAAATGAATTTCAATCTATCAATTGGCAAACAGTATTTGCTTCAAATAGTGATCCATCTCTAATGTTTGATAATTTTTACGCTAAGACAACTGAAATAATTGATAAACATATTCCTGTAAAACAATTATCTAGAAATGAAATAAAGTTAAAATCCAAACCATGGATAACACGTACAATTCAAAAATCAATTCATGCTAAAAAAAAATTATACAGTAAATTCTTGAAAACAAAGTCCTTTTACTATCATTCAAAATTTAAATTATATAGAAACAAATTAAACCATATTTTGAAGATTAGCAAAAGAAAATAGTACAATGACTATTTTATACAAAACATCCAAGATACAAAGAGAGTATGGAAGGGCATCAAACAGATAATACACTCTAAACCTAAAGTGAGCCAGAGAATTATCAAAATTCTGGAGGGAAATAGAGAAATAACAGATCCAATGGCAATTGCAAACACTTTCAATAATTTTTTTGCTAACATCGGAAATAGTTTGGCCTCTTTAATACCAAATGTTGAAAAGTTGCCTTTTGATTATCTCACTAATTCTCCATGTGACAGCTTATATATTTCTCCAGTTACTTCGGAAGAGATTGTAAATGAAATTTCTAAATTAAAACTCGGAAAGGCTACTGGTCCATTTAGTATACCAGTGTCAATTCTGAAAATCCTTGGAACAGTGATATCGAAGCCATTGGAAATTTTATTTAATGTTTCTTTTTCAATGGGCGTTGTACCAAGCAATTTTAAAATAGCAAATGTTCTACCGATTTATAAGAATGGATCTCCAACTAGTACTTGTAATTATCGTCCAATCTCTCTTCTTTCAGTATTCAGTAAGCTCTTAGAGAAACTTATGTCAAATAGGCTGCTTGATTTTATCCAACGAAAAGCAATTTTGTTTGATAATCAATTCGGATTTCGTGCTAAACACTCTACTGACTTTGCCGTTCTTAGTATAATTGATAAAATACAAAAAGCAATCGATGAACGAGATTTTTCTTGTGGAATATTTTTAGATCTTAGTAAAGCCTTTGACACAGTCAATCATGAAATCGTAATAAAAAAATTAGAGCATTATGGAATATGGGGTGTAGCTAAACACTGGTTTGAATCCTAACTTAGAGGCCGCTATCAAACAGTTACAGTAAATAATACTAAGTCTTCGGCTAATATTATTTCTTGTGGTGTACCACAGGGATCCGTTCTTGGTCCAATTTTATTTGTTTTGTATGTCAATGATTTTCATCACAGTTCTAACTTCTTCGATTTTCATTTATTTGCCGACGATGCAAATTTGTTCTACCGACATAAAAATATTAATATTTTGCAATCAGATGTTAATACCGAATTAAATAGTATTAATGTCTGGCTATGTGCCAATAAGTTATCGCTCAATGTAGAAAATAAATAATAAATTTTCAATTAAGTATAAATGACAAGATTATTAAACAATGCTATTAGGTTAAATATCTGGGCATCCTGATTGACTCTAACCTTGGTTGGAAATCTCAAATTGAATGTATTGCTAAAAAAATTAAGAGAAGTGTGGGCGTTCTATCTAAATTACGGTACTATGTTCACACTAACATTCTGATTAATCTTTATTATACTTTGATTTATCCATTTTTAATATATGGTATAATTGTCTGGGGTAATACTTACACCCCAGTACAATACAACCACTTTTTGTTTTACAAAAGAAGGCCATGTGTATTATAACGTTTTCTGAATATAACGAACATTCAAGTCCATTGTTTAAGTTATTAAATATAATCAAGATCTTTGATTTGGTAACTTTCCATATTGCATCATTTATGTATAAATTCCACCATCGACTATTGCCCTCAGTTTTTGATAACTTTTTCACTCCAATAGATAGACTACATAATTATAATACAAGATTGGCATCAAAACAGAGTTATCACCTTCCTAAAGCAAGAACTAATTATGGTTTATTCAATATAAGATTTCAAGGAACCAAGATATGGAATTCCATAAACGAAAATATAAAACTGTTTTCTTTTTCAAAATTCAAAAATAAACTAAAAAGTGATATATTGCATAAATATTAAACATTTCATTCTCAGTAAAATTTTTCTTCTTCTTCTTGCTATATAAGTTGATAAAGCTGTTCTGATCCTTTTCCTTCATCCCAACTCCAAACCAAAATTTACTGGTATTGTATTATTATAATATGTTGCAATTGTAAATTGTATTTAATTTATTCTTAGTGTAGTTCTATGTGTAAGTCTGTTTTCTGTTACTGCTAGTGTCATGTTGTACCTATTTTCCGATTCTTCTTTCTTCGGCTAATATTATTTCTTGTGGTGTACCACAGGGATCCGTTCTTGGTCCAATTTTATTTGTTTTGTATGTCAATGATTTTCATCACAGTTCTAACTTCTTCGATTTTCATTTATTTGCCAACGATGCAAATTTGTTCTACCGACATAAAAATATTAATATTTTGCAATCAGATGTTAATACCGAATTAAATAGTATTAATGTCTGGCTATGTGCCAATAAGTTA